AACAAGAAAATACCGTAAATAAAAAAAAACGGTCTACTGTTATTTACTTTGGTTCAAAACCTGCAAAATCTTCATTGCTTTCACTATAATATATTTTTTTATTATTTAGGTAGCATTATAAATAGTTATGTTTTTAAAAGAAAAAAAAACTACTATTGTTATAAATAACATATTCAATTGAACTAAACTATGCATGCCTATTTAAATATATTTACATATGGCTTGTATATATCGTATACAAAAATTGTATGTTGTTATCTCATACCATTATTTTTGAAATAAATCGTTTTTGGATATATTTATCAGGTCAGTAATTATATAAGAACTTAAATACAACCACAAACAAGGCATCACACATTTTCCGTAAAGCATTTCCATAAATTTCAACATTTTTGGGGTAAAAAAGTGTGTCTTATACACCGAAAAATACGGTAATAAATTTTTGATTGAACTTTTCCCATGCGAATGATGAACTAATTGCCCTAAAATATTATTTTATGTAAATTTACAACACAATGAAGCCTTGTTTTATAATTATTAAAATATGCATTAGATTAATGGACTATTGAGAAGTCATGAACTCTCATGAATAAATAAAAAGCTTTTTTATATACAAGTGAAAGTAAAGTTTAGAAAACCTTTAGAATGTGTTGAGAAGATTCATATCTTAAGGGTTACAATTATGTTTCAGGAACTCTATTGGTCTATTACAGTAGTTTTAAAAGTAGTAATATTCTATTATATCCAAAAAACTAAAATCTTGCCACTGCATATAATAAAGTTAATTATGTCTACATTATTTTATTGTCTTATAGTTTGTATTTGCACTTAATCTTTCAGAAAATCTACCATGTTAATTAAAATCCCCCCACCCCCATTTAACTGAATTTGCATGGGATTTGATCCATTAAATTGAGCCTGTATTGGAGAGGGAATGTTAACTATAATTCCAAATTTACTACGTGTATCTAAATGAAATATGGCAAGCTTTTAATAAAATGTAAAAAGTCTGTTTTACGCAATAAATCAATGTGTTCCAAAAGTATTTGTACTCAAGATGTGTCTGAATTGATGACATCAGTCTGACAGGTTGGACTGCAAGATGATGTTCATGTGATCAACAAAAATACTTCTGTCCATCATACAGTTTACATATTGTAATTACGTAACCTCTATAATCTCCAAAACATACAGTTTTTCAGTATCCCTGTACACTGTATCTGGTATTTACCCTTCTCTACTATAATCTCCAAAACATACAGTTTTTCAGTATCCCTGTACACTGTATCTGATATTTACCCTTCTCTACTATAATCTCCAAAACATACAGTTTTTCAGTATCCCTGTACACTGTATCTGGTATTTACCCTTCTCTACTATAATCTCCAAAACATACAGTTTTTCAGTATCCCTGTACACTGTATCTGGTATTTACCCTTCTCTACTATAATCTTCAAAACATACAGTTTTTCAGTATCCCTGTACACTGTATCTGGTATTTACCCTTCTCTACCACAAGTTGTTGCTAAATCAGCAATGTAAGAGTAAAATGGATGGATGATAACTTTGACCTAAAATACTATCTTGAATGGCACTTTAGAAGGTTGTGGCATGCTCACTGTGCATGTGGGGTTAACCAAAATGGCTAAACAGTTCAGTGTTGGGTTTAAGCCATTTTAATTTGTATATGATCTTGTTTAGTAACTGGTTAAGAGTGGCCTAGTGGTTAGTTTACCAGACTTTGGGTTTGATGATCCATGGTTTACATTCTGTTGCTACAAAAAATGGCAATCTCCATATTGGGGCCATAGATGTATTATGATACTGATGGATTAATCCTGCTATTAAATTAGGCAAGAGTTGGCTGTTGACTAGTTAGTTGCATTTCCTTTAGCTCGTCGGTACATAGTTGTACAGATAGACCTTTTGTAGCATTGTACAAATATTTGAAACAAACCAACTAATTTAATGTGAAAACTACTTTAATAATCACAAGTACATCCCAAAATCATTGTCTTTTTTTTTTTAACTGAACAGTTTTTTTTTTTACTTTTCAAGTAAATTAACAATAGTTATATATCTTTATGCGTGTATGTATTAAAAATACAGCTTGATTATAATGTAATTTTTTAATTTCCAACATGGTGAAAATATACAGTTCCTCACTAGTAACGCTTTTATATCATGTTTATCTTAAAGTCATATTGTGATATAAGTATATATTTTGTTTCTTATTTCTTGTGACTTGTTGCTTTAGTTATAAGCATGCTGTTGATGGTTTGTGGAGAGTATACAAAACTGAAGGAATTAATCGACTCTTTTCTGGGGCTTCCACAGCTACTTGCAGGGCTGCCCTAATGACTGTTGGTCAGGTTAGTGGTGTTGACTGTAGTGTCACAAAAGTTAATTTTTTAGATCCACGCTCTAGAAAGTCTTATAAAAGTCACATATTACTGTTGAATGTAGGAGTATGGCATAAGGATTGAAAAATTATCTAAAGATTATACAAAGAAACATTGGAATATATATGTATATAAGATTTAATAAAATTAATTTTGATAAAAGGTTATTAGCAAAGTTCATCTTAAGAATATTTCAAAATGTTTCTAAGGTAGCTAGCAAATATTCTTATAACTGTGTTGTGTCTGTTGTATTAAAAGATTAGTTCATACTTCAGTCTATTTTGGCTTAGTTATATCTCTAGCCTTAATCCTATAGTATATTATTGAAATGATGAGAAAACATGACTTTAAACAGTTTTTAAATTTTGGTTCAAAAGTTTTCAACATTGTTGAATTCACTTTTTCTCTGTTGCTTTCGGTTTGAGAGCCTATGTTTTGAGTTTAAATATGGTGTTTGACATAATTAAGTAGCAAAGTTTAAGTATTAGCTAATGATTTTTTTTTTTATTCAGCTTTCCATGTATGATCAGATCAAGCAAACACTTTTACAAACAAACTACTTTGTGGATAATTTAGTCACCCATTTCACTTCAAGCTTAATGGCAGTAAGTACCATTCTTTCCTGTAATCTTGTTTATTTCTTTTTTATGTGGCTCAGTTTTGATTTTCTATATTCTGTTACCATGTCTGTTGTTCAGTGTTAATTGTTTTTTAAACTTTGACAACCAGATCTGATTATCTCTATTTTTTTATCAGATCTGAATTGTTCTTTTAAATTCAGACAACCAATTTTGATTTTCACTATTCTGTTACCATATCTGTTGTTCAGTGTTAGCTATTTTTAAATTCAGACAACCAATTTTGATTTTTACTATTCTGTTACCATATCTATTGTTCAGTGTTAGTTATTTTTAAATTCTGACAACCAGTTTTGATTTTCACTATTCTGTTACCGTATCTGTTGTTCAGTGTTAGCTATTTTTAAATGCTGACAATCAGTTTTGATTTTCACTATTCTGTTACAGTATCTGTTGTTCAGTGTTAGTTATTTTTAAATTCTGACAACCAGTTTTGATTTTCACTATTCTGTTACCATATATGTTGTTCAGTGTTAGCTATTTTTAAATTCTGACAACCAGTTTTGATTTTCACTATTCTGTTACCATATCTATTGTTCAGTGTTAGTTATTTTTAAATTCTGACAACCAGTTTTGATTTTCACTATTCTGTTACCATATCTGTTGTTCAGTGTTAGCTATATTTTAAATTATGCACTCTGGTTTTCAGTTTGAATTGTCTTTATTCTGTTATATTTCTGTTGTTTAGTGTTAATTATTTCCTTAATTCTAACAACCAGTCTGATTTCCTGTTAACCAGTGTGTATCATTCTTTTTTGTATATTGGTTATTAGCTGTACTAGCATTTACTATGATGTTACATTTTGTGTTGGAAACAAGAAGATAAATCTGTCATCAGGAATAACTTGCAAATAATTTCCTTTCTCCAGGGTGCTATTGCTACAACTATGACGCAACCTTTAGATGTTTTGAAAACTAGAACAATGAATGCAAAGCCAGGAGAATATAAAGTAAGTCTTGGAAGTTTGAGTTTGATTAGTCTAATTAGAAAACATTCCAATCTCTCATACTAGACAAAGTATGAGAAAAGAAATATAATATTTGAAACTTAAACATGCAAAAAAACATTAATATATAATCAAATTTATTGTTCATTGTGGTATTCTTGATCTACATACCAAAAAGATCAGTGATTATTGATGATAAAAAAATAATAATATTGCATAAAGTCACTTGTGACTGACTGATTCTCATTTAATTTTATTTGGTCATTAACCAACATGTTCACAGATACATAGAATAAGTTCAAATTAAACTTTCTTAATCAAACAGGCCCATAAGTGGATTCAGTGAACAGTCAGCAAATTCAATGTTTCCATGTCACGGAACACTGAAACTGAATCTTATAGTTGCAAAACATCAAAAAATAAACATTATGAGATCTTTTGTTTTACTCGGTGAAACATACCTGTCTGTATTATTTTTTTGTTTAGACCTGGCATGGCCAGGTGGTTAGGACACTGGACTTGCAATTTTCTGGTTCGAATCCCCATCCCACCAAACATGCTTTCCCTTTCAGCTGTGTGGGCATTATAATGTGACGGTCAATCCCACTATTCATTGGTAAAAGAATAGCCCAAGAGTTGGCGGTGGGTGGTGATGACTAGCTGCCTTCCCTCTAGTCATACACGGCTAAATTAGGGACGGATAGCGCAGATAGCCCTTGTGTAGCTTTGCACGAAATTCAAAACAAACAATTTTTTGTTTAGTGAATTAATAAGTAAGGCTAGTCTGTGGAACTTTATTCATCCAGTTTTCATTTGGCATGTGCTGATAATATTAGTCGATTGTCAAAATTCCCACACCTGTAAGGTAGTAACTTGCTCAAGTTTTTTTCTATTTGGAGTATTTACTATTTAGATATAATCAGTACAGATTTTTTTCAATGCATTTATAGACCACATATGTACATTTAGTTCCAGACATTTTCTTGATAATATAGAAAAAGTTTATTTTATTTGTTAGCATCTAGGTAATTTCATTCCTGAAAGAAGAATTCCTACAATGGAACAATTAAATCTGATTTTCAGCTAAGATTTTTACAATGACTGGCTTTTAGCAGACCTGTCTTGCACGTCTGTGGTTTATTTCACTCCCTAACAAGCATATGTTTTCAATAGTATGTTTTATTGCCATTTGTTTGTAGGATTAGAGATTAGTAAGCATGTGTAATGTAATGTTACTTGAGGTAAAACTTGAGCGACAGCATGGTCAGAATAAGACAAATCACGATCTTCAAAAGAAGTGTTTTTTATAATACTCCAAAGGTACAGTTTGAATATTGGTTTTTAAGGGTATTGAAGAGGTAAAAGGGTTTTTAAAACAAATGACACAAGTATCGTATGAGTTTTGTTTTAGTACATTCTTTTTGTTTTTGGCATGTGTTTCTTTTCCGACACATTTTTTGTTTTATTTTATCATGTAGAGCATTTTTCATCTTATAACGGTAACTGCCAAGCAAGGTCCTTTGGGCTTTTTTAAGGTGAGTAAAATTAGCATTTATATCTTGGAGGATTGTGATTACAAAAGTTTGTGTTTTATTATTGTTCAGAATAACCTCTTAATTTGTAACTGCCAAGCAAGGTCCTTTGGGCTTTTTTAAGGTGAGTAAAATTAGTATTTATATCTTGGAGGATTGTGATTACAAAAGTTTGTGTTTTATTATTGTTCAGAATAACCTCTTAATTTGTACGTGATGACTTTTAAAGGTATTTGATAAAAGAAGTCTTTTTTTTTTTTTTTTCTGTCATCATTTAATCTACATTTACACTGACATTTCTTACGTATCACTTAGATAAAGCATAATTTGAGATTTTGTTTTTAGATCCCACCTAAAACAACATCATTTCTAATAATACAGTTTTGTGTGTGTGTTTCTTGGAATATTTTGCTTTTTTTTTCACTATTTGTTAGAGGAGTTATTTAAAACAGTTCCCTCTGCCACCAGTTAAACTATATGAGTTTGTTTGGTAAATATAAGCTTTCTCTATAAAGTTATGCTCCTGACTCTATCAATTTTTACATCATGATTTTAAACCGTTTTTTTTTTTTTTTGTAGGTTATACTCCTGTATTTGAGATTGGGTGTGACAAACATGAACCTCTTTCTTTATCTTTCTTTTTCTTTTTAGAATTATGTTCCTAACCTTATCAGTTTATACCTGAAAAATATAAACCTCTCTTTTATAGTGATATGTTTCTGTTTTTCTCAACTTAGTTCTGGTAATTGTAAATTTGTTTTTTTTTTGTAGAGGATAATGTTTTCACTTGTGTCACTGGGTCTGATAAATGTAGGCTTCTTTTTTTTCATGTAGGGTCATGCTCTTACCTTTGCCATTTGGACAAGTAAATATAAACCTTTTTATATAATTGACACTTAAAACCATCAGCACTTGGTGAATCTCCATGATTAGAAAATTGAAGGAAAAAACAAAGACAATTGTACATTTTTACAAACACTTAATTTACTAACGACCATTGTTTTGCCAGCACATGATGATGCCTTTACTGGTAAAACCATGACCGTAAATAAATGAAATATTTGTGAAGATGTACAAGCATTTATGTTTTACCTCAATTGTATAAACCTTTTTTTTTCTCTAGGGTTGCATTCTGACTTTTATTACCTTGGGTCTGATAAATGTAAATCTCTTTCTTCCTGTAGAGATATGCTCTTAACCTTTGCTTCTTTGATCTAATGATTATAAGTTTTTTGTTACATTCTTACTTTTGTCATTTAGGTCTGATAAATATAAGCTACTTTCTTTTTGTAGGGTTATGTTTGTCATTTAGGTCTGATAAAAAATAAACTACTTTCTTCTTATTGGGTTATGTTTGTCATTTAGGTCTGATAAAAATAAACTACTTTTTTCTTATTGGGTTATGTTTGTCATTTAGGTCTGATAAAAAATAAACTACTTTCTTCTTATTGGGTTATGTTTGTCATTCAGGTCTGATAAATATCAATTACTTTCTTCTTATTGGGTTATGTTTGTCATTCAGGTCTGATAAATATAAATTATTTTCTTCTTGTAGGGTTATGTTCCTGCCTTTGTAAGGTTGGGTCCTCACACCATCCTCACCTTTGTGTTCTTTGAACAGTTACGACAAAGGTTTGGGTTCCTTCCTCCAAAGAAGGAATGAAGATTTAGCTTGAGCCAACATTACGGTTTTTCATAATGTTGTATTGGAAGACAATGTTCTTCCACAGCAGAGACTTTAAATCTTGTTTCTTATGCATTTATAATTTGAGTTATAATGAATGTTTTTTTTTTACAGAGAATGTTTTTTATGAATAGTTAAGATATTAAGATAGTGTTGAAATATTGTAGCATTTGTAATATCATTTAGATATTTTTACAAGTTATTTCTTAACATTTTGTTAATGAAACTGGGCTTCCGTCATTTGTAACTTCTTGATATAAAGAAAAGGTAAGATTTTGATACTTTTGCCTTTGCTAAACATTACATGTCACCTGTATTTGTGATGCAATGATTTGGTGAAGAGTCAAATGTATAAAACTAATAATTATTGTTACTTTACATAATGGCATCCAAAAATTATTTTAATTGGTTCTAACCTGGTGAAATATGGTGTGTTTTTGATTCTTCATTTTACTAATATCTTAATGAATTCATATTTTTATGAAATCATCGTCCAAGTATCAGATTTGTTGGTTATAATAAAAAAAAAACTCCATTTATTTAGATATATATGTATTTTATTCCAGTTTTGGGTGAGAGAAATGTAACCCAATTAAATCACTACTATATTCATAGCTAGTGTTTTTCACTGCATTCATCGAATCTTACATTTCATGAAAAACTACACACGTTAGAAAGAAGTAACAATGATTGTTTTCCTTTTTTTGTACAATTTTTGATTAGCTGTTTGGCGGGAACATAGACGTGTAAAAGTGTCTGCTTTAAAATTAAGAGATTTTTTATATTTTTTTTAATGTCAAACAATTTTTGAAAACAAATTATAAGGAACTTTTATGACATGAATTAAAGTTGTTAAATATGTACTCCAGAACAGGTAGCACAAGCGGTGAGTAGACCTTATTTTTATGTAGGTTTCAGAACTACCTCTGTGACATGTGGCCTTAACTTTTTTTAATAAATCTTAAACTATTTTCATGCTTTTGATTTTTATACAAATCGTACAGAGTTATAAGAGGTGATCGTAGTAGTAGTAGTTGTTTTCTAAGGTTTTATAAAAATTAAACATTGTAGCATGCATGCACACACGCTCGGGCGGATTGGGACACCGGGTAAAATCCCGGTGATGCCTGGGCCAGTGGGGGTGATAACCTGGTTATACTGTCTCAGTGCTAGACTAATATAATGTACATCTCTATTTCTATATATAAACATACATATATCATCCTGATTTTTTAGTATTTGCCCGAGCCGTTTTGGCTCTCAATCTGCCCCTGTACACACAAATTCGTATATATAAACACACACATACTCACATATATTATTACAGTTTTTACAACAGATTTGTTATTCTTTAGAATTTTATAATTACACACCTGGACATCCTCCTCTTCGTATTGTAACTCAGCCAATTTGTGTGTACAATTTTAAAATTTTATTTTAATGTTAAACAGTTTCATACTACAAATCCTAAGGATAATATGTTTAAGCCTAAGAAAAAAGTATTGAAAAAGAGTTCTACGAAATATATACAGCTTTATTAATTAATTGAATGTGAAAAATAAGTGGTACTTCTTCAGATTTTCTAAACAAAAACAATAATACATTTCAGTTATTTTACTGTACATTATGTTTACATACTGGTTCATCATGTTAAAATATGATAGTAGTGTGTGGAAGTATTGGGTAGCTAGGCATTTATTGATGTCGGGACTTCTAATAAGTTTGAAGGTAAAGATGGCTATACTTTTCTAACCAGTAAAATCAGAAATAACATGCAATAAAAAAACTCCAGCTAAATTTTTTGTAACCATCAAAATCAGAAACAACATGCAGTAAAAAACTCCAGCTACACTTTTTGTAACCAACAAAATCAGAGATAACATACAATAAAAAAAACTCCAGCTACACTTTTTGTAACCAACAAAATCAGAAATAACGTACAGTAAAAAAAAACCCCAGCTACACTTCTGTAACCAATAAAATCAGAAGCAACATGCTTGTTACTAGAAAACTCCAGCTACACTTCTGTAACCAATAAAATCAGAAGCAACATGCTTGTTACTAGAAAACTCCAGCTACACTTCTGTAACCAATAAAATCAGAAGCAACATGCTTGTTACTAGAAAACTCCAGCTACACTTCTGTAATCAGTAAAATCAGAAAACAACATGTATTATTAGAAAAATCTAGCTACATTTCTGTAAGTAGTAAAATAAGGAAATAACATGTTTGTGATTTGAGAAAGCCTTCTGCTGTGTTGTATTAAATCTTATGTTGTCAAGTCAACTCTCATATGCATAAAATTTCCTTTCTACAAGAGTGTCTTGTTAAAAGTAATTCATTATTAATGTACAACAGAGATGGTGTGGAAATTAATAATATGAAAAAATTGAAATGGTGTTGACAGCTGTCATTTAATGTTGAATTTTTGACCAAGTTTTGTTTTCTATAGAAATAACTGAATCACTGATAATTAGTTCTGTTGTTGAAATCTTAGGAAAGGCCTCATCGCCAAACAACTACTATAAACAAAACTTAGTGAGAGCTGCATTAAGCCTTGTGCTTTGCACTTTCCAAAGATTTTGTAAGGTTTTTTTTCATTATTTTATAGAGTTCTTTTTGCAAAGTCAGACTTTTAGGTGATATAAATCATATATTTACAGAAAGAAATTCCATTAAACAATTTTTATCATTGTAGTTTGGTAAACTTGCAGCATTTTAATATTAAGTTATAACTGTTTGTAATTAGGATAATACTTGTGAGCCAAAGTAATTAATCTTCATATAAATATATAAGCAAAGTAATATTTTATATTGGGGTTAATTTGGTTAAAGACAGTATACTGTCTAAACTTTAGTTTAATAATAAAGAAACTTCAAATTCTTTAATGAATACTATACTTTTTCTATTTTACAGGACAAGTATCTTAGTCTGATAAAATGTTTAAATAAATTTTGTTGTCTTTGACAGAAAAGATGTTAAACCATTGCTATAATGGAACAAATAGTAGTTAATACCTGAGAAAATACTACTGTGCTTAGAAACTAGTAGAAAGCACTGCTTGACAAGATGACGCAACACTATGTTTGACACATGCGCAAGTAGTATCATGCCTATGTAATATTGTGAGATAAACCAATGAAGAAAGTGATATCTAATTACCCAGTTCCTTATAAAATTTAATATCTTATCGGATATTTGTCCAGTCTCTAATAAATGTTTTTTTCTTTTAATATAGAAATTATTTAAAAATGTATGGCAGAGAAGGTTAGTCCCAGTGGAAGGTCATGGTAGAATTTAAGAAGATTGGCAGTGTGGATGACATGAATATGCTTCGCAGTGTTCAAAGAGAATGGAAATACTGTCTCCAAGAACAGCATATGGAACACATTCTGTAAAATTCACTGAAGTGCCTATGGTTCGAGGCTTTTTGGACACTGTACACAAGGCTGTCCACGAGATGGTATTGAAATGCATATTAATTTAAGTAGACAAAAACAAAGAAAAATATCATACATATTTCTTATATTAGTAACTATTTTCCAACCTATATGTTCAAGGTCACTGTATTTTTAAATACCTAATCTCATATACAGGGTGTCCAAAAAGTCTGAAACCATAAGTGATTTGTAGCTTTTCTTAATTTCAGATATGTATAAATGTTTTGTTCAGTTTTTCCTTTATTGCCACTGAAGTTTAATTTTCCAGGAAAACTGTATTTCTTGAAAACCAGCATTTCTTAAGTGATGGAAATTGTATTATCTGTGGAACAGTAAAGAATTTTCACTTGTGTATAACTATGCTGATTATTGTTGCATGTCTTATCTTCAAACTGATACAAAATAAATCTTGTTGAATGGTTCTTATGCAAATTAATTTTGACTCTTTTAAAAATTATAGAACAGTTTTATAAGCACAATAAAATGATTTATTAAAAGGTATAAAATGTTCAGTCTACATGTTTCTGTGGAATTGTGTTCTCACCATCATCAAGATTTGACCAAATGATGATAATGAGAATATACTTTCATCAAAGGCCCAGCATGGCCAGGTGGCTAGGGCGCTCGACTCGCAATTTGAGGGTTGCGGGTTTGAATCTCTGTCACACCAAACATGCTCGCCCTTTCAGCAGTGGGGGCATTATAATGTGTCGATCAATCCCACTATTCATTAGTAAAAGAGTAGCCCAAGAGTTGACAGTGGGTGGTGATGACTAGCTGCCTTTTCTCTAGTATTACACTGCTAAATTAGAAACGGCTAGCGCAGATATCCACGTGTAGCTTTGCGCCAAATTCAAAAACAAACTTTCATCAAAAAAAATCTAGATTGAACAGTTTATTCCTTCTAATAACTCATTTTTTAAAGTTGAAAAGAGTACAAAACAGTTTGCTGTATTGACATCTAGATAGTAGTTAGAAATTTATTAAATTATGTGGGAAGTAAAGAGTATTTTTAGTTTATTAAGGTAAAATTTGTCTTATTTAGTCAGTTTGTGACATAATACTATATGAAACCTTTTATTTTTAGTTGTATTTGTTGTGAAGTAAATGGTTTATACTGCATTTAAAGAAATAATTTTGCTTTATATTAGATATTGTATAAAGTATATGTTGAGTATTTTTATCTCAGTTATAGAATACCATTAACTTTATTATTCTTTCCAAAAACAAACTGAATTAGGGTTTAATGCTTTCTATTACCATTTTCTTTCCAAACTGACTTGATGGAAGTTCCTCTTTTAGTATTTCCTTTATTTCTGACAGCTAAAAATGTTTGCTGCAGCTCTGTTCTTCAATGTGTTTACTTCTTGCACAACAGATTTTACAAGATAGGCTGGAATACACAACAACTGCATTAAGAAGAAAAACTATTATGAAAACCTTAAGCATTCAGCAAGGAACAAACGTATCTTTTACAGTAAAACAAATACAGCCAATTAATTCAACTACTTTCAAAAATTAGAATAAAGTGTGAGCACCATTTAATGACTTTCTTATCTACCAAACAAGACCAGAGGATTTAATTATACATTTAACTTACCAATATCAACTATTCGTATCCTATAAACTATTGTGCTTTATAATTACACTCATAATTTCACAATGAAAAAATGACAGCTTTTGTCTTGACACATCTGCTGGTGAAACTAAATGTGTGAAGTGTTGTGAATGTATATTTTGAAATGGAGGATTTTATTTTATACGTCTTCCTAGGAATTTTGTAATTCTTTGCTTGTACTAAATTTACTGTGTGTCAATCACCATTAATTCAAATGGGTTACAAACACAGAATTAATATTATTAAATAAGTGATGACTTGGGTTGAATTTTAAATTTAAAATAACTACTTTTATTTAAAACTGAAATAATTTAAATTTTAGTTCACCATCAGTGATATTCACATTTAGGTTTAAGTTGAGCAAGAAGATGCAAGTTTGGTAAACATACAAGATTTATCCCCGAGAGCTACTGTGTGCTATTAGAAACGGTTGAATATCTTTTAAAGTCAAATTACATTGCTTGTAAATATTTCTGGATTAGAAATTTGAATTGTAATATACAGGAAATAATTTCAAAGTATTTCATGTTAATTTCAGTTGAATTATTAAGATCACTTCTGTGCAGCAGCATGTGGAGAACTAGGTAAATGTACAGACAAGTTTACTAACCTTAAATCATTTGTTATATTATACACTGTTTTATTGTTAAATATTTTGCTCAATATTTTTTTATTGTAAAGTTAACTTCCAATTATAACACTACCAGTAAAATCATTTTTTGTTTCTATTGGGTATTGTATCAGGTTCTTGAAAACATCTTAATTTTAAATTTTTGGGAAAATGTCATATAAAAAAGGGTGTGTGTTGTTTATTAAGTGTTAATTTAGCATGGAGCTGCTAAAATTGTAGACTCTGTTCCTACCTAAGCCTCCAGAATATTATCAAACTGATATTCTTAAAAGAAAAATTGAATTATTTTGTGTGCGACGATTAATTTCAATTTTTTTTTGGAACAATTTCTCATGTATTCATTTGATTAAGTTTCTTATACTACTATAGAAATTAATTATTATTATTTTCAAATTTTAATAACTGTAACTATAAGGCATGTTAAGAAAAGATAGAACTAGTCAAACTGTTAACTCCAAAATGTTATTTTTATATAGAAAGTTTGTACTGAAATAGCTTGCATTTTTAGCTTTGAAACATTGAATATTATTCTTTAAAACATTTCATTTTTGTATATCCTCATTAAAAATAATAATTTTTTAGATAAGTATCTTTAAAAAAAAAAGAGTTTTTTTGCTATTTAACTGATATATTTTCTATCCATTTTATAATCATTTACCAAAATTATAAAGAAAAATCTGTTGTTAAACTTTAGGGTTCACTATAGCCCTAAAATATTTTTTTGTTCTGTACATTTTCCGTGTTTTAACTGAAAGATATGATTCAGTGAATGGTTTTAACTGTATAATCCAGTTTTTAACTGTATAATGCTTATCAAAGTAGAAAAAAGAAGGAAATTGGAGTAATAATCAGATAACATTAAACTACAAATTATTGGAAACAATAAAGTATTTGTACTATTCATAAGACTGTTGTGTGTTGAACTTATTTAGAAGTTTATTATTTTAAAACAGTTAAACATTTAGATCAAGATACATTTTTACTTTTGTCTTATTTTTCTCAGATGTTTTTTTGTAATAGAACACTGAAAAACTGAGATTAAGCTGAATTACTCAGCTAGTTTTTCTTTTAATCAGTTAAGATTCAGTAGTTATGTTTTGAAATACAATGAACAGTACCTAAACTGTCAACGCTTTAATTTCTTATGTACCCTTGAAAAGTAGGAAATATGTTTATTAGAAAAAAGAAAGTTAATATTTTTAATCTATTTAATTTAACTGAATATTGTAAATTTCTAGAAACGTTCTTGTTCTACTTTAACATACAAATATTGTATAAGTTTGGTGCATTTCATATTCACTCTTAACAGCACTTGCAAATTTTCATTACATTATTATCTACATTTATCATAATATGAATGTGATGGATGCTCATTCTTAATGGTGGTCTAGCTTATAAAGCTAGGAATCGGAGTTTATTACCCACGGTGGACACAGCGGAGATAGCCTAGTGTGTAGCTTTGTTCTTAAACATAAACTTTATGGTGTGAAATGGTTGTTATAGATGACTGATTTTATCATACTAACTTTGGTTCACAGATGGCAGTAACTGATAGCACTGAAACTTTAAATAGGCGATTTATTGTATTTAAAATATATTTAATTATACCACCAGGTTATGAGTATTGTAACTTCGTAGGCAGTTTATGCACAAGAAAAGATTAATATCTCTAACTCAGTCTAAGCAAGGAATAAGAAACATGAAAGTATTATTTGTCTTACTAACAATCGCTACCTGAGCGTAATGACTGAACTATAAATTCTAGGGTTAATGATTCGCATCCTGTTGCTGTAAAATTACGCCCCACATTTTGGAGCCAGTTGTCTTATAAGAATGGCAGTCAAATCCCACTACTCCATTAGACTTGGATGCCTCTAGCTGTCGTCCCTTTATAAATTAAAAAGATATGGACGGTTAATGCTGTTCACTAGCTGTTTTTCCTTTATCAGTTAAAAGAGAATAGAGGTGCTTAATGCTGTTGACTAGCTGTCTTCCCTTTATCAGTTAAAAATATAGGGACGGTTAGTGCAGATAGTCTTTCATAAACCTTTATATGTATGCTTAGCAAACAGTATATTATAATATATAATTAATAACAATTCAAATAATAATTGTACTATATTAAATTTAGTAGTATTTAGAATCTAGGACGCCAAACATGTGACATAAAAACTATCTTGTCAGATGATGAGCTACTACCACCACAGAACAAGGCGTAGAACTATGGTTTTTAAGACGAATGTGTTATGTTTAAATTACTGCTGATAACGGCTTTTAATTTAATAAATGTACGTTTTGTGTCATTGACGCTCGAACATTTTTTGAGAATGGGTAGTGAAAACCATTGAACAAAATCGAAACCCCTGGATATGATGGGAACCACGCATGCGCTCCCCCCAGACGTCAAGCTAGGGGAGTACTACCGCAACCATAGTTCTACGCTCCCCCCAGACGTCAAGCTAGGGGGGGGGGTACTACCGCAACCATAGTTCTACGCTCCCCCCAGACGTCAAGCTAGGGTTGGGTACTACCGCAACTCAACAACTTCGTGCAAGCAACAG